GTGTGCCGGTTCTCCCGGCGTCGGGGAGCGGGCCTCTGGGGCGGGGTCCCCCCCCCCGGGGGGGGGGACTTGGCAAGCCTAGGAGATGGTTCCTCTATTGCCAGAAGGAGCTACAATGTATTTCTGTTTAATTGTTAAACCAGTTCCCCTGAAAATCAGCAACACACATCTGTTGCTGGTAGAGGACAGTGCCATCAAGTTGCAGCCAACATATGGCGATCCCCCCCATAGGGTTTTCAAAGCAAGAGGCATCCAGAGGTGTCTTGCCATGGTCTGCCGCTGCGTAGCTCCTCTAGTCTTCCTTGGTGGTCTCCCATCCAAATACTAACCAGGGCTGACCCTGCTTAGCTTCCGAGATCTGATGACATTAGGCTACCCTGGGCTATCCACCTCAAGGCAACACGCATCTGTAGCTGTCTTTAAAATAAATGTTCCACTGTATTGGTTTCGCTCTTAGAGTGCATCTTTTTGGTGAATAGTTAAGGCTGGACAGAAGGTTTGCATTAAATTCTGTTCTTCATGACTTTGGAGCTATAACTTGAACTGGTGGTAGGGTAGACCTATAAACTTGATTATCCGCTTTCAAGTCTCTACTACAATGTAGTATTAATATTGTTGAAATGGTTTGTTTTTTCACTATTAACAATATTAATGTATAATAATACTGACCTTGTTTTCTTTCATAGCACACTCTTCTTAAGGAATCGATATTTTGTTTCAATTTTGTTTCTTAAAAATATCAACGTTTAAAAATGTTGTCATTCTATTACTGTTATATTTGACTTTTCAGTGTTTTGTACATTCATTTTATGGCTTTGTGCCTCTGCTGTATATTGCCCAGAACCCGGTGCAAGCTGGGATGGGGCGATTAAGAAATCAAATCATCAACATCATCAATAGATAGGGAATGACTTGGAGATGCTACCATAGCAATAATAACTTCCTAATTTTCAGTGTTAGTGAGTGAAAATGATAGATGTTAGTGGGATAGAGTGAAGGGGTCCTGCCTTCTTCGAGAGCCTGTTGCAAAGACACCTGATACTCTCTCTCCAGAACGCAGAGAGATTTAAGTTGATCCTTCCCACGCACACACTAATTGTGGAGTAAAACGGATAGAACATGCATAAAGCTCCCTCCTTCCCCTTCTTTGCTCTTTCCTCGGGAGCCCCACGATCTTATCCATCCCACTTACTGGCTGAGCTCAGATTCATAGTTTTCTTTCGGCTCAATAAGCTTAGAAACGATAATTTGCTTAGCTGCCTAGGCTCCACCATGCATCTTTCATATATGTCTTCTAATTACAACTGTTAGATCCAGGGGACAAAAATATGTAAGTACTATCAAAGCAACTTTACAGGGATGCTGGAACAGTTTTAGAGTTTATAGTTGAAATAGCCCAGAGAGCACTGAGATCAGGGACTCAGAATCGCCTGACTATCCCCGGCCCGAGAGACGCCAGGTTGGCCGCTACTAGAGCCAGGGCTTTTTCCGTGGCGCCTCCACACTGGTGGAATGAGCTTCCGGATAGCATCAGGGCCCTGCGGGACTTTTTACAGTTCCACAGGGCCTGTAAAATGGAGCTCTCCCACCAGGCTTTTGATTAGGAGCCGCCGCTGACGAATGCGCCACCGGAACATACTAGGGCCCCCGTGAAACATCGGTGGATATTGCCTTCCTCTGTATATTGAATGCTGCCATCATTTGTATCGTCCTTGTTAGAATTCTATGATGTTAGGTAATTGTTATTTATATGTTATTGTATTTTATTGTATTTACTGTTTTGCTGCTTTTAATGCTTGTTCGCCGCCCTGAGCCTGTTCCCTGGCAAGGCGGGACACAAATTGAAAATAATAAATAAATAAACGTTTCACAGTGTTCAGTATAATATACGGTTCTAGCTTTCCTTAGATGTCATTGCTAATTTGGTTTATGAATAGGGTTGCCAAGTCGGGTGTTGCCCCGTAGCGGGGGACTCCCGGCTGGTGTCTGGAGCACGCACATCACCCGGAAGTGACGTGACAATGCTGGGCACGCTGGGGGCGGGGGCACGACCATCCGAGGGAAAACCCTAGAGTTTTCCCTCGGATGACCGTGGCCCCGCCCCCAGCGTGCCCGGCGTGGTCGCGTCACTTCCGGGTTATGTGCATGGGGACACCGGCAGGGAACGGGCCTCTGGGGTGGGGGTTTCCCCGTCCCCCGGGGGGACTTGGCAAGCCTATTTATGAACATAGCAACAATGGCACCAATCCCAGTATGCTTCAAAGAGACCAGTGTCAGAGCAAGAAGAGGAATATAATTTATTTATCTACTTTAGTTATCCTCACAACACCACCATGAGGTAGGTTAGGATGCGTGTCTGTGACTGGCTCGAGGCTACCAAGAAGGCTTCCATAGCCGAGTGAGGATTTGAACCTGGGCTTCCTAAATCCAGTACTCTTATCACCATGTCCCACTGGCTGTCACGTGTGGCAAGCAGCTCTTCCCAACCACCGGGACAGCCTGTTATGTGTGATTTATCTGGCTCTCTCTAGAAGGTGAGACATTCACACACACACAAATAATAAAACTGACTTTACCTGTGTGTTTATTCCTGTTATCTAAACATGGATGAACTAAATCTTGCCCTTAGCACAAAATGACATACTAGTTTTGTGGCGTACCAAGATGTTGGTTAGGTTGGGGACAGGTGAGCTGAAATCATTCCCAGTTTTTGTGATAGGAAAACTCACCATGCTGCATTGTTCATTATTTTTATTGGTCGTGAAGCTGGTTCTACGAACCTTTAGCGGGGTTTCTGGTGTAGGTTTTATACTTTATGGAAGAATGCTGGCAGACATATTTTAAAATGTTAACAGGTAACTTACTAGTCAGTTACTTTCTATACAGCGTAGTATGGCCTGCAGGACAGGAATTCACAGAAACACCTGCTGTAATAGTCTGCAATTGAAGTGCTGATCTCAAAGGTCAAAACCCGATATTCTTAGAATGCCATTTCCATGTTTTGTCCGAATTTGTCCTTGGGAATATCACACTGAAATCGTAAAAAGCACAGGCTTGGAAACAAGATCCATTTATATCAGATAAGCCGAGTACATGCATACACATTAGTACACATTAGTATGTTTTGGTGTTAGAGCCTTTCATCTCACTTGTGTATCAGCTTCTCATTTGTAAAGAAGGGATGATATTGCCTCATTAATACCAATTCTCATAGCAGCCATCCTTCCATCCAAAGCATACTGTGATTTACCATTTTTCTTTCTTTCGAGCTTTACAGTACCGTATGTCAGAGCTCTCTTAGCCCCACCTACCTCACAGGGTGTCTGTTGTGGGGAGGGGAAGGGAAAGGAGTTTGTAAGCCGCTCTGAGACTCCTTTGGGTAGTGAAGGGCAGGGTATAAATCCAATCTCTTCTCTTCTCTTCTTCTAATTCTCTCACCCATTCAGTTACTTCTTACACCAAATGTCATATGAAACATTGGAGGTAATTCTGCATTTCACCTATATCACTTTACATTCACTATACATTGCTTTTGGTGTATTGCACTTAGCTAAAAATAAGAAATGTTTGATAAAGAAGTGACTTCCTCCAAAATTTTGATTTGATGTGTTTCAAATATAGTTTGAATTCAAATAGATTGACTCATCCAGGTTTGAATAATGTAGATGAAGAAATAAGACAGATTCCTCATTTGGTTGCCTGTATGTGAAATATTGTGGGTATGCTTTTCAAACATGTCTTTTTCCTTTTTCAGACATGTCTTTTTCTTTTAATCTTGTATTAGTACAAGAAGTGTAGTGAGGAATACTTATACTTGCGCATTTTAATCAGTTTAGCCACTGTTGTTTTTGCTTTTCCCTAGGTCGGATCCGTACAAGAAGGCAAAGCTCTGGAAGCGCCACAAGCATTACCTCAACACCTGCTGACACACGAGGCCGCAGCCGAGCTAAAGTAGTTTCACAATCCCAGCGTAAGAAGCCATATAGTCTGGTTTTGTGCAGAAGGAAGGCTAGTTTCCACAATTGTTTTCAGGGCTTACCTTCAGAGAAACTTAATTTTCCATTTGGCTAGTTTCCTTTATCATATTTCATTTGGGTCAACCATCTTCTCTAAAAGCCTAACCTGAAGCCTTGAAATAGTAGCCCTATCTTCAGGGTATTGTTGTTGTTGTTCAGTCGCACAGTCGAGTCCGACACTTTGCGACCCCATGGACCAGCTCCCTCCAGGCCTTCCGGTCTTCCGGCGGCCTCTGAAGTTTGCTCAATTTCTGTTTTTTTGTGTTAATTTATGGGCCCAGCAGTCCCGCCCCCAGTCCCACCACCACCACCACACTAATCCCTCTCACTTTTCTGTGAATGGTAACAACTTTGCATGGTCCTGCTATATTGTACCTGGTGGTAATTGCTGTTTTTACAATAGTGGTGTCTGCCTATCCTGCTGTGTAAGCACAATGTTCTGGGTGAGCACATGATGCCAGAGATGACAGCATTATGCTGGTGCTGCAGTTGTTTCACAAGCAGTTGTTTGTCAGCTGGTGAAATCAGGCCATGGAAGTGTCTGTGTGTGTGTCCGGGCAAGTGCTCACAAGAAAGGCCTTGATGTGTAGATTTAATCTATAACATGTTGCCTAATGTCAGCAGTGATGTGTTTTGTCAAAAAGCAACTCACAGTGTGTGCAACTAGCAACGCTTACTGAATTTTGTATTGTCTCGTCTTTCATTCACTTTCTGCCTATCCTTTGGTCTGCTTTCATAATGCAGGATCCAGATCAGCTAACCCTGCTGGTGGTAAGAAATACCTTCTTGTTTTTTTCACTCTGTTTCCATATCTGTGCTGTCTTTCAGACTGTTTTTATCTGTTTCAGTTTTGACAAACCTTGTCCTATTTATTTCCTCCAGAGGTTCTTAATATTAAAATGAAAATTTATTCTCAATGGTATACTTACGAATTGTTAGTACTGTCTAATTTGCTGAGATGATAATGATGATAATTATGCCCAGCACCACTGCATAATTCTGTTCATTTGTGTGATATCTGGCCAGTATATGTTCAAAGGAAGCTTTGACTTTATGGACCATAAGCTATGACAAGTTTGTTCTAAGATGCTAACGCATGGCCCTGAGAGAATGGTACAGAGACCAGTGGATGCTATTCTACGCACAACAGGAAAGTGGTTCTGTATTTAGTTGTCAAGTATGTTGACACACGATTTAGAAAGGCTAAGAAGGATGTAGTAAAATCTTCAGATGTTGATAGTGGTGGAAAATGCATAGGTTGAACAATGCATGCAGTGAGTTCAGTGAAATGAGTATCTTCCCCTTTCTTCTTCTCCTCCCTGCCTCTCTTGGGCCCCCAAAGTTTTTCCTGAAGGTTGGAGGGGGAGTTACTTAGGAATGGCACGGAACACAGTGCAGGAAACTACACTTCAAGGGGCAATTGACAGATTTTACCCACCCACCCCTTCTTACTAGTTTCAGCTCATTTACAAAAGCAGCACCAGAGCTTGCTCAAGTGCATACAAATGAGTGCATTTTTGCTGATTTTCTGTCTTGCTGCAACCCCCCCCCATCCCCACACCATGTTGCATCACACTCTGTTCCTGTGTCCCAACCCTCCGGAGCAGTTTAGGAGGTCGGGTGGGATTGGGAGGGTAGCTACAGGGGAAATGGAGAGATCTATTTGGTAAACTCCTTCCTTTGATAGTACATTGAATCCAACTTCTGTAAACTACTCTGAGATACTTTTTTTTTTTAAAAATAGAGGCTTAGAAATTTTTTAAAAATAACTCGGGACAGCAGGCCAAGAGGCATTGATTTTGAACTGCAGTTCCCTTTCGATGTTTGCGAAAGCCTAACGGGATTGCCAAAAGAAATAGTGGGATTAACTTCATTCCCAGTCTTTAAAATTAGAGACCAAGGTCCAAATTATTACATAAGTAGTTCAAGGAAACCCTTAGACTGAAACAGTCTTTTTCTTAAACAGTAATTCCCCCCCCCTCCAAACACACACACAGAAACTAATTTCTACATGGCATTATGACAAGGCATGAAAGTAATATGATGAAAGGGGGGAAAGTCAAACATTTCCCTGGGCTAGCACCAGCTACTTATGAGCCAACGCCAAGACTGGAGAAGTGTCTGCCAAGTATTAGAACAGTATTAGAGCAAAGGACTGCACTGACAACAAGGTACTCTACCCTTCCTTCAGTGTATACTGTGGTATTGAAAGCCCCTTAATGTCCCTTCCATGTATGATTTTGTAGGGCAAGGTAAGAGTTCTTTTATTGACATGATATATCTTACTTTCCTAAGGAAGGGCATTCCTTGTCTCCATTATTATCTTTAAAATGCTGCTTCTTAATCTAGAATGTTCCAACAGCCTTCTCATCGTGCGATCAGCTTTTGAAATCTCCAGTCCTTCGTTTAATCTACTTCACTTCGAGATTTCTGGGCTGTAGTACATTGCGTTCAGCATGGTTATGAGTTACTCTGAAGAACACGTTTGTGGTTTCTTTCTAGCCGGCAGTAGATCCAGTTCCCCCGGCAAACTCTTGGGAAGTGCGTACGGTGGACTGAACAGTGGAACGGTCAGGGGACCCCCAGCGCCATCACCTTCTGACAAACGCAGCAAGGTCCCAAAAAGTCAGGGCTGCAGCCGAGAGACAAGCCCAAACAGGATAGGTCTAGGTAAGTTCTTCTTGACTTCGGCAGCCAGAGATTATATTTTTGATGCTCACTGGCAAAGGAAGGACATAAGATGACACGCTAGTGTGCCAACAAAACTTGCTGTGGTTTACCAGGGTGTGCTCCAATATGGTTGTTATAAAGTCCACATTAACTCCTCTGTGAAGGTTTGGGGTTCCAGTGTATGCAAAGTGGACTATATGTTGCAGTGTGTGTGAAAATCTCTCACACTGAGTCTTTTCGCAGAATTCTCATGCTGTTCCACACTAAGAAAATTGGACGGTTTAGATGGAACGGTCCAGGTGGATTGATTTAAATTGTCTGGCTTTTTTAAAATCATAATTTGAATTCCAGGTTAAAACAAAGCCCTTTTATTAAGAGATTAATTCTGTTTCCAGTTGCATTATTCAACACTGTCTTATGGTTTAGGATTTGAATCTATTTGCATGAATTATAGAATGGAATTGCTGGATATTAAAAATTACATGATGTCTTTGGTGAATGTTTTCCAAAAACATGATGTTTCTGCTTCTCCCCAGTCTTAAAACCATCGTTTTATAAGTATATAGTACTCTTGTTGCCTCTAATCATAAATTGCTCCTACTATTGCAAAGTTAATTATTCAATTTATTTAATGGATTGTGTTTATAATTAAGTGCTATTTTGTTTGAGACATATCCCAGGGAATATCTTGAGTAGCTGTCCAATCATTGCAGACATGTCTAAGGAGATAAGACGGGATATAAATATTTTAAATAGATAAATTGTGCAGGAATCTTCATTCGTAGGTTGCTTGCTTCCATATAAAATGTGCTGCCTTGGCAAATCTTACTTTGCCAAGTGTACAAGTCATCAGTGTAGGACTGGGCCATGTTGGGCAGTATTAGGGGGAAAATTGGGACTGGGAACAGATAACTCTAATGTCATCAGAATTTTAGAAGTCAGCAGACAAAAGTGGAATTGCAAAAGCAGGCAGGACTAGAGAGGGGAAACAAGCAATCAGAACTTTAACTACTGGAGAGTAGGGATGGGCATGACCCGGGAAATTGGTGGTTTGCTGCACCGGTTCACGGTTCGTTAGATTTGTGACTGAATTTATGAAATATGCTCCTGGGCACCCTCTATCCAGGGGTTTGATTCTCAAACCCCCCCCCCCCAATTGCTGCTGCTGCAAGCAAACCATCCCCCTTTTCGCCTTCTGCCCCCTGGATCAGCACCTTCCCAGGGTGCTGGAGACCCATTCTTTCACTGATCGCACCTCCTGGCCTTCCTCTCCCGCCTCCAAAGGTTGGACTGCTGGCCCGACCCCTGCAAACACCGTCAAATTAATCGTACCCTTTTTTCCTTGTTGACAACTTCCTTCCTCTGCACCAAACCCCACCTTCCTGGGCTGCTGGGGTCCGGACTGAGTATCCAAAAGATGCTCCTGGACACCCTCTCCAATATCCAAGGGTCCACTTCCTGACCCACCTTTGCTGCCACCATGAGCAAGCCCCCCCTTCACCTTCTCCTCCCTGCAAAATCACCTTCCCAGGGTGCTGGAGACCCTGTTCTTTCACAGCTTGCACCTCCTGGCCTTCCTCTGCCACCTCCAAGGTTAGCCCGCCAGCACAACCCCTACAACCACCATCAAATCCACTGTACCACCTTTTCCTTATTGACAGCTGCGTCAAATCCCGTGTGATGTACTGACCTCCAAAAGCAGGACGCTTAGTGCATTAAATTCAGAGAGCTGGGAGATTAAAGGGTTAATGCCTCACTGTGAAGCACATGCTGCCTCCATGCTCCCCCCTTCTCTCTGATTGGTCAGCGCCATCTGAGGAGAGCTTTAAGAACAGCTGACTGCTGAGGAAAAGGGTCTTTTTTGCCTTGTTTCTGGCATGTTAGAAGCCAGACAGGTGGGGTTTGTGTGTCTGTCAGAAGGAAAAGACAAGTTCACTTGTGAAGTGAAGGGACACAACTCCTTGCCCTTACTGTGTACCATCAAATCTGAGGAACAGTTCCAGATAAGAACTTTAGTTTAAGTGTCAGCCAAGAGGAAAACCATTTATTTCACTGGATCAAGAACTGAGGGTCAGTTTTGATGGTCAGGGATTGGTCAGTAGGTTGAAGCTGCCAGTCTAGCCAAACAGAAAAGGAATATTTCCTCCTCAGTTATTCAGTCGGTTACAAACTGAAGGGATCCCTGGACTGGTGAAAAAGAAAATGGTTTTAGACTCGTCTACAGTCCAAGGGAAGGCTGTAATCCCACTGGGAGGGAGAATAAGTGCAGGAAGAAAGTACTAAGCTCCAGGAAACTAAGATAGTTATTTGAATCTTTATTAAGACACGTTGTTACTGTTAAGAAATCTCCATGACTAACAAACCTCTCACTGTTAAGAACTGAGTCTCTAAGAAACTAAGCTTCAACAATATTCAAACAATCATATTTTGTAAATGCAACAAAATTTACCTCAGTTTTCTCATCCCCTGCCTATTCCTAACCCAACTGTTTAACAAAATCATCATTCCTGTTTGAACTTTACTTCGTATCAAGTGGCATTTACAAAGGATATAACAAGTGGGCTCCTGCTTATCAACAGTAAAATCTCTGGTCTGGGCAAAAGCCAAATATATTTTCTAGCATAGGATGGAACACTCAGAAAGTCATAAACCATTTATTACCACACGCTACCAAGGGGCTGCTCAGACAGAGTGGAGAACAGCTATTTAGCATTTTGGTGGGAAAATCTGCCTCAGAGAACCGAACGAGCAGGGGTCCGTCATACCCTGTCTTCCTGGTGTGTTGGGGTCTGGACTAAGTATCCAAAAGGTGCCCCTGGGCCCCCTCTCCAACATCCAGGGGTCCATTTCCCAACGCCCCTCTTCACTGCCACTATGAGCAAGCCATCCCTCTGTTAGATCCAAGCCAGCTCAGTAATCCCTTTCACTCCTCCCATGGAAGTCACAGTGGATCTCGAAAGTGAGCCCAGAATGTATTTAAATGCTTTCTGAGCTCACTTGTGTTGCGTCACCACGAACCCTCTTACGAACCAAACAAATGGTGGCAAAAACCATGGTGGTCTGTGGTTGGTTTGCAAACAGAGTGATTGCACAAATCACGGTTCGCAAACTCATGAACGAAATTTGGTTCATAATTCCGTTTGTGCCCATCCCTACTGGACAGGGTCTGAGCAGAGGATTCAAACAAAAACCTATTTGGGAAGTGTGTGTGTGGGATGGGAAGAGGAATGGGGTCCAAAGCATAGCACAATTGAGGGAGGTGAGCTGAGAGCTCTGAGGCACGGCGGAATACAAATCAGGACAGAGAAGGCATAGACAGAAAGGCTTAAGAAAAAGATCAAGGGACCAGTAGCAAGCAAATGGTGGCAAAAACCATGGTGGTCTGTGGTTGGTTTGCAAACAGAGTGATTGCACAAATCACGGTTCGCAAACTCATGAACGAAATTTGGTTCATAATTCCGTTTGTGCCCATCCCTACTGGACAGGGTCTGAGCAGAGGATTCAAACAAAAACCTATTTGGGAAGTGTGTGTGTGGGATGGGAAGAGGAATGGGGTCCAAAGCATAGCACAATTGAGGGAGGTGAGCTGAGAGCTCTGAGGCACGGCGGAATACAAATCAGGACAGAGAAGGCATAGACAGAAAGGCTTAAGAAAAAGATCAAGGGACCAGTAGCAAGCCATGTCCAGTAATTACAGTGAAAAATTTACTCATGGTTCTTTGTTGTGAGCCCTGAACACACTTACATAGTCAAGCTAAATCTGGAAAATTTAAGACATCTGTCCAGAAAACAGTAGTCCTAAACTAAAGTTTGGATGTTCTTTGTGTGTAGTGTCAGTTTTCTCTGTTGCTACTACTTGATGCGAATGTCCAAGGACTGTCACTTTCGACACGATAGGGGAAAAAAAACCTTGTAGTTTCTCCTATTTGTTAAGTGGAATTTATAGCAAGTCCACTCTGTTTGCAACATTCATCTCTCCCAACATTAGGACAGCTGCATATGACAAATAAAACTTTGGTTATATTCTGGGCATCCTGATGCTTCGTCAAGCTGGGCTTAAATTTGATTATCATTCAGGCTCAGTATTCAGATTATCCAATGATTCGTTTAATCCAAAATTTGCAAGAATGGGAAGAGAGTTTGCAAGCAAATCATGTGCCAGCAGCTGTTCTAGTCTTCTTCATTACTCCATACCTTGGACTAACTAAATATATTAAAGGACTGTATAGTATGTGACCCTAGCTATGTGAATAGACTCTTGGACTGCTTAGCTAACTATATAAAGCAAATGGCTGCTGTCCCGAGGGCGAACCTCCCCAAGGCTGGCCTCTGCTGCTCGGGACTTGGGAACCGCCGACCACCCCATCCCCGACCTCAGCAGCACTTACCGAGGCCCTGAGCTGACCAGCCGCACCGACGCCGTCATCCACGGGACCCGATGAGACGCCTCCGAGGCGCCTGGGCTGTGCTGCCAGGGGCGGAGGCCTGGCTGCAGAGGGAGATGTCCCGGAAAGGGGGGAGGGGCAAACACTCTGAGCTGCCTGGAGGGAGAGAGATGCGGGGCAAACACAGCTGCTGGGGCTGGAGAGAGGGAACCGGAAGGAGACCGCACCCCCAGCTCAGCGTCCTAGCCTAAGAAGGGAGGGTGGGGCCGGAGTGGTGGACGGAGGGTGGAACGGAGGGTGGAACCTTGGGCGGAGCGGGTGTCACGGGAACAGAGGCCGAGGCGGATGAGAAGGCACTGGCGGCACTAAGGGTGGGAGAGAGAGAGGAGGAGCAGCCTGAATACGCCAAGGGAGAGCGGAGGGCAGTGATGTAACCTCCTCCCCTCCCGACTGTCTGAGGCCTCTGGGGTTCCCCTCTTCCACTCCCCGGGTGGCAGGTCGCGGTGGCTTATAGGTCAGAGCAGCAGGGGACCAGCGACAGCGGCGAGGGGTCGTCCAGCTCATGTGACAGCTGCCTTTGAGACTGCTTTCTTGGCTCCTATGACACTGCTTCTT